AGGAGGAGGAGGAGGAGGAGGAGGAGGGAGAGGAGGAGGAGGAGGAGGAGGAGGAGGAGGAGGAGGAGGCGGAGGACCACGACGACGACGACGACGACGACGACGACGACGACGACGAGCAGCAGCAGCAGCAGCAGCAGCAGCAGCAGCAGCAGCAGCAGCAGCCTTCGGCGGCCTCTGCGCGGCCTTCGGCGGCCTTTCGGGCGGCCTCTGGGCGTGGCGTCCGCGGAGGGGGGCCTCGGCCGCCGCGGGCCTCCAACGGCGAGAAGACCTCCGCGAGCTGGGCGGTGCAGCTCGGCCGCATGGCCGCCCCAGGCACACACGGCGCAGGGGCGCTTCTGCACTCAGGGGCTCGACGGCTCTTCTCCGATCGACTCGCGGGGATCGGGCACAGCTGCACTGAGAGGGAAATAGGCTCTTCTCCCCCAAGCCTTTTGTGGGCCACGGTGAGGGTAGTGGATCAGGAACCAGTGCCGGTGGACAAGGAATCCAGGGTCTAGAAGCCAAGGGGACTCCAATCGTGGAGTGGCTATGGATATGATTGCCGCGTGCATCATCCGATAAGGAATCCTCCAAAACACACTCCGTACTACCAACGCCCCCACCGTATGACAAAATCACGACGGACTTGTTCCTGTTATTTTCTGCCTCTGGGGGGCCCTCGCCCAGCCTGGGGACCGTCAAAGAACCACTCAGCGTGGAAAGTCGGTCCATGGGAAGGGGTCCAGACTTCTGGGGGTGCGAGACTGGAAAGGATCATGACGTCGGTGGCCTGGGCCGATCGACTCGTGGGTTTAGGCCAGCGACATCGAGGAAGCTCGACGCGAATTGGTGCAAACGCGCAGCGGTCGAAACAATTCCGAAAGGATCTCCAACACAATCCCCGAAGAAGCCATGCGACCTCCAGCGCGGGTCGAGGGACAGCGAAAGTCGTCAAGCCCTTGACGACTCTAGCCGCCCGCGGAGGCCCCCATGCCGGAGAGCCTCGACCCCTCTTGAGCAGGGGCCGACCGTCCCAGCATGCCTCTGGGCCCACCACGACATGTTCTTGAAACCAGCGAATGCTCCAGCAACAAAAGCCGTGCTCGTGTGACAAAAAGGCGAGTGATCCAAACACGACGGTCTCAGCCAGGCAATGCCACTGCTCTTAGAGCATGCCGCATGATCTAAGAGCAGTGCGTGCACACCGCGGAAAAGGTTCTCAGAGCATTCCCCGCTTCGGGCTGGGCGAAAGGGGGGGATCGCAGAGGGGGGTTCTGAGCATCCGCTCACCTAGCTCATTCTCCTAGCGCCTCCCAGCGCCGGGAGGCGCCCATGTACTCGAGGACTGGGCCCGGCGGCGGGGCCGAGACCAGCTGCACGCCGCAGATTTTGTAACCCCCCCTTTCCCCAATCCCCCCCTTTCGTCCGGCCCGACAAAGAGAGGAGGGAGGGGGAGGGGGGAGGGGGAGGAGGAGGAGGAGGAGGAGGAGGAGGAGGAGGAGGAGGAGGAGGAGGAGGAGGAGGAGGAGGAGGAGGAGGAGGAGGACTGGTGGGCCCACCCAGGCCAGCCGGGACGCCTGGCCACCGCCCGACCCCTCCGCGCGCGCGGGGCCCTGCGAGCCGTGCGGCGAGCGGCGAGCGGCGCGCGGCGCCCATCCCCGGAGAGGCCACGGCCCGCCTCCGGGGCCCCCGCGAGGGGGCGGCGGCGCGGCGAGGCGGCCGCCGATAGGAGGCCTAGAAATGGGCACCAACACCAACACGGGGCGCATGGCCCTGAGATCCAACGTGGCGAACACACTGCAACATCGCGAAAAATCGCGACCGGGAGCCCTAGACCCAATCTTTCTGCGGTGTGCCTCGAGCCGGATCGATCTGTGATGGCCCCCGGGCCCGAAGCTGGGCGATAAACGCCCAGTGTGAAATGGGCTGGGGTTGCCTCCACATGGGGACGATGATCCTAGATTTCGGTGTTGGTGGCAACAGTTCGGTCACTCTGAAGCCAGATTATTGCCGCCATCCGCCGAGATCGGGATCTTCTTCCCTCGGTAGATGCATGCCGCCGATCTTGGTGTTGGTGTCGATCTCTAGGCCGGCGAGCCGAGGCCGCCCGAGGCGGGCGCGCGGTGTCGGCGGGACGGCGCGGCGGCCCGCCGCGGCGGCGGCGGGCGCGCCTGCGGCACCCCCGCGGGGACCGCAGGCGGCCACGGGTTATATAGAGGGCACGCCCTCCAGCTCGCGGGAGCCCGCAGACGATGCCGCGCCGTGCGGGCTCCTGCGAGTCGGCGCTGGAGCGCCGCGGCGCGGCGCCCCCTCGTCGATTTCCAGACGCTGGCGCGCGCCAGTGCACTCCGAGGGCGGGCTGGCAAGGGCGCGCAAGGCTCCCGTGAGTTGCTGCCGACCCACAGCCACATCGAGGGTGCGCCCTCGGCGGCGTCTTGCGCATGCTGGCAATCGTCATCACACCGAGACTAGCTTATTACTGGCTGTGGTCGAGGTGGGCAGGTGGGCGTCCCAGATGGCCAGATCGACCACAACCACGACCAGAGTGTTCATGTCGAGGTCGGCAGGGCCTCCCCCGAGGGGCCCTCCAGAAAGACCCGCTCAGTTCAGTTGCGGCTGTGGTTCATTGCTGTGTCCAGAAGCCCTGAGATCTGGGCGTCGCAGTGGTTGCGCCACGGGCGAGTTTCCCCCGCTGCGCGCCCGGGGACCCCCACGGATCGATCCGCCTCGAAGAATGCAGCACGAGGACAGGGCCCCGATCCTCTGGCCGAGTGCTTGCACAAGGGGCGAACTTTTGCCCTGCTGCGGGCCCGGCGGGCCCCAGGACCCCCACGGATCGCTCCGCCTCGAAGAGAAGTGCAGCGCCAAGCCGGGGTCCAGGGTTCCGGTGGGGTTATTGGTCCACGATGCTGCGATTTCCTCGTGCCGCCAGAACTCGGTGAAGCTTGCGGCGGAGGAACTTTTAAGCACTCAGCACCTCGTTACGCCAGAACTCAGACCCAGCTCTCAATGCCCCAGGGAGGGCGCGGCAGTACTTTTCAGTCGGGCCTGTCCCCCTACAGGCCGATTTTGGACGAACAATTGAACACACCCAAAGAATACCCTAAAAGTATTCAAAAATTGTCAAAAAAATAATCCCCAGGCTATTTTTTTGTGACTATTTTTGAATATTCCCCCTGTAGAGGGACAGGCCCGCTTAAGAGTACTGCTGGCGACGAAGGCCGAGGGCCGCCGAGGAGTCGGGGCGCAGGCGCGGAGCCCGCGGGCGCCCTCTGCCCCGCCCTCGGCCGGCGGGTGGGCCGGGCGCGGGCCGAGAGAGCAGCGGAGCAACGGCAGCCAGCAGAACAAAAAAAAAAACCTCGGCAACGGCAGCGGAGCAGCGGCAGCCAGCTGAGAGCAGCGGAGCAACGGCAGCCAGCCGAGAGCAACGGAGCAGCGGCAACGGCAGCCGGCAGAACAGGAAGGTCTTCGGCAGCAGTGGCGCGTCTGGCGCCTGCGCTGGCAGGCGCAGGTGCTGCATGCAGGCGCACGCGGCAAGAGAAGTCCTGCTGCGTGCAGAAGACTTTTCGGGGCACACGCTTGCAGTCGAGCTCTCGATCTTCCCGAGGTGCCCATGGCTTCTGCCCAGACATCCGATGTCTTCATTTTTCCATACCGTCGGGGCGTTGACCAAAGGAACCCGAAATCAGGAACGAAGCCATTTTGTCCCATAAATTAAACTTCGACTTCCCATCGACAACCCAAGGAAAGCCTGAGGCAAACTGAATTAATGAAGGAACGCGGAGCCCCTCCCCAATGAAAAGGGTTCCTTCCTCGGCGCCCCAGCTGTACGGGGCCCCCGGAGGTCCCGATCCTTTCCCCAGGGCCAGTGTTTCATTCCGAGCCTTTGTCTGATGGTTCTGTGAAGGCCCCCTGAGGCCAAAACTCGTCAGGGTGATTCCCCTGGGTCGGGCCCTCCGAGTTCCTTGGCTGAGCAGGGACGAAGGAAGAAGTTGGAGAAAGGTAGGGGGAAGCAACGAGGATCGTGCAAGGGTGGCGAAGGGCAGAAACAAAACACCAGGCGGAGCAAGATGAGGAAGGTTTGACTGTAGGGATGAGAAGAGTAAGCATGAGGATGCGGAGCAGCAGAGGTGAGCTGTCATCCTTCTCCTCAAGCCGGGGACACGTTTCTGTTAAGCGACGCACAAGGCTGCAGCCAACACATGCTCGCGCTCCCCTGCAGGCGCCTGTCGGGCAGGGGAGAAACACATACACACACAATGGCGAGATACCCACACCGATGGATGGTGAAACCATCATATCCCCCATCGCCTGGAACCCCCATTCTTGACGCGGTCGAACTGGGTACGGAAAAACGGCACAATCCCCAGCAGCAAGCGCTGTCCAAAACCAACAACAGCAGCAGTAAGTCAGGGGACAGTCTATATCAAGTGGACAAGTTCCGCGGCAACACCGACATCGAGCCCTGTTCAAAATGGGCAAGACATTCGGTCGGGCATCTTCAATCGTCTGTCCGTGCCAAGTTCTCTCCTCCAGACTTCCCCTCCTCGTCGTCCTCCTTGTCATCCCTCTTCTCCCTTCAACAGCAAGCTGGTGTCTGCGCAACGCGCAGCGCTGGCGACACAAGTGGAGAACTGCGTCCTCTCGCGCTGGGTGGATCGCCGCGAGATCCCGCCTGAACCCTCACTCTTCTCGTCTGCCCTCTGCTACCTGCACACACCCATGAATAGTTTTGGGCGGGACAGTGTGTTGCAGCATCAATGTGTGCTGGGTTGGCTCTGGTCCTCGTTATTGGGGAAGTGGAAGGAGGGGGTATGAGCGAGACGGAGAAGGAGGGAAGAGGAGGAGGAAGAGGAGGAGGAAGAGGAAGACAGGGTGGGGGTGAAGAGAAGAACTGCACGGAAACCGCCGTGCAAATGCATGCGCGCTAGATTCCATCGCGAGGATTCCGCTATCTTTTCAGCGTAGACGGGGCACGCAAACGGTACGCCGCGCTCGCTGGGCAGGCATTCGCACAGGGACAGACCCAGCCCCTCAATGAGAGGAGCGGGGCAACAAATAACTCTGATGACTGAATCGTGCAATTCCGCTACTCCCCCTCCTCCTCCCACGGAAAAGATATGTTGTTTAGCGTGTCGCGACGGCGGCCCCTGCTACACGAAACGCCTCGCGGGATGGTAGCGCGTCGCCCTGCTTCGCGGGACGGGGGGTCTGGGAAAAGCTTGGAACCCTGACCCTTGCGCACGGGGCCGTGCTCAGCGTGTCGCACCGAAGAGTGGCGGGCCAGAAACGGCGGCAGGGCACGCGAAGCGAACGTTCTCGACCCGAAACACGGAGAGCATCATATGAGTATAAACTTCCGGAGGTCCGCGCGGAGTTCTTGGATCGGCGCTGGAATCCGCCTTCCCTGGCGCGCGGCGCCGGGTGTCCGGCCCAGGGGCGGCCCAGCCCCGATCCACCGAAATCCCGCGCGGAGCTGCGAAAGTACATGTGGCATGCTGATGTTTGGCGGCGCGCACACGGGTGTGTATGTGTGTGCGTGTGTGTAAATGTGTGTAAATGTGTGTGCGTGTGTGTGTAAGTGTAAGTGTAAGTGTAAGTGTAAGTGTAAGTGTAAGTGTAAGTGTAAGTGTAAGTGTAAGTGTAAGTGTAAATGTAAGTGTAAGTGTAAGTGTAAGTGTAAGTGTGTGTGTGTGCGTGTAAGTGTAAGTGTGTGGTTGTGTGTGTGCGTGCGTGTGTGCGTGCGTGTGTGTGCGTGTGCGTGTGCGTGTGTGTGTGTGTGGGGGGGGGGGGGGGAAGGCGTCCTCCCTCTGCACCTGTTTTTCTTCTGCGGGGAGGCGGGCGGGGGGGGGGGAACGGGGGGGCAAGGCTGCGCGTGGCCGATCGGTTCTGTTTTTAGACCTGCGTGCTCCCAACCCCCAACTCGCCGCCACCAGCACCTGTGGAGGGGGGGTGCACGTGCGGCTCTGCGGGCCACGGCTGTGAGAGGTGCTCCGCGGAAGTGCCCAGACGCCACAAACGACCAAGGCCCTTGACACCCCCCTCTTCCGAGAGAGGAGGAGAAGGAGGAGGAGGAGGAGGAGGAGAACGAGAAGGAGGACGAGGAAGAGGAGGAGGAGAAGGTGGAGGACCAGAGTGAACCCAAGAATCTCAAACGATATCGGAAGAAACTCTCCCTCCTAGCTCCCTCTTCATAGGCCCATACAAGGCTCCATCTCCACTGAAGGAACTGCCCCGTTGGGAGACAACCGTTTGAACATCCTGAAGAATGTCAGAACACCATTCTTGAGACTTCAACGCCAAGAATCAGCTGACTGTTGCGTCTTGACGATCCCGAAGCGTGCCAGAACACCATTCCTGGGACTTCGGCACCGAGAATCAACGTAACTGCTGCACCCTGACGGTCCTGAAGCGATCCCAAACCCTGTTTCTGGCACGCTAGCCTGGAGCATCCGTGAAGCTGTTACAACGTTTTAGGGCGAATGTGCGCGGCGCTCAGGCGGGAACCACATGTCGAAAAGAAACCGCCTTCAAGATGTGAAACTCTTGCAGCATGACGCGACAACTGCGCGCCCCCCCATGTTGAGCACCACGCACCCTCAATCCATGAGGCTTCTTCTCCTGCGCATGTTTTAAACGAGTGTGCGCGGCGCTAAGGCGAGAAACACATGTTGGAAACCACCCGCCCTCAGTCTATGAAACTCTTGCGCGCTGTTTAGGGCGAGTGTGCGCGGCCCTAGGGCGAGAGCCACATGTTGAAAACCATCTGCCCTCCACCCGTGGAGCTCTTGAAGACTTGTTGACGAATGCTAGAAGCGCTAGGGCGAGAGCAACAGTTTGAAGCAACCCGCCCTCAATTTGTGATGGGGGAAAGAGGAGGAGAAGGAGGACGAGGAGGATGACGAGGACCTGGAGGAGGAGGAAGAGGAGGAGGAGAAGGAGGAGGAGGAGGAGCAGCAGGAGCCCGAGGAGCAGGAGGAGAAGAACGAGGAGAAGCAGGAGGAGGAAGAGGAGGAAAAGGATAGACGATGATGAGGAGAAGTAGGATAGATGATAGAGGGCAAGAGGAGGAGGAGGAGGAGGAGGAGGAGGAGGAGGAAGATGATGATGAAGAGGAGGAAGCGGAGGAGAGGACGAGGAGCTGGAGAAGGAAGACAAAGGCGGAGAAGGAAGAGGAGGACAGGGGAGGAGGAGGAGGAGGAGGAAGATAGAGGAGGAGAGAGGATAGAGGAGGAGGAGGAGGAGGAGGAGGATGAGGAGGAGAATCGAGGAGAGATGAGAAGGAGGAGAAGGAGGAGAAGGAGGAGGCGGAGGAGGAGGAGGAGGAGGAGGAGGAGAGAGGAGAAGGGGAGAGCCCACCCCTCCTCTGCAGATGGTGGTGGTGGACCTCCTCCCTCCAAGCGAAGCGCGCCCGCTGGAGCGCGGCAGCGGGTCATCTGCCGAGCGCGCGCGGCCCAGCCGCGGCAGCGCTGGCCGGTCTGCTCCGTCTTGTCGGCTTGAGGGGCGTCAGCGCTGGGCCTCTGCGCCGACACCTCTCTCTCTTTCTCTCTGATCGCTTCCCCCTACTGCTCCTCCTCCTCCTCCTCCCGCTCATCGTCCTCCTCCTGCTCCTCCGACTCCTCCTCCTTCTCTATCCCTTCTCACCCTCCTCTTCTCCCTCCTCCTCTTCCTCCTCCTCCTCCTCCTCCTCCCCCTCCTCTATCCTCCTCCTCCGCCTCCTCCATTTCTTCTCCTTATAGATAACTCCTCCCTGTCGCACCCCGAGGCCTATTTTTAGAGCGGGCCGGGCGTTTCGCCTGTGACTTCCTCACCACTTATGACTCTGAAGCTTTACAAGCGACCACAGTTTCACAGATGGAGGGCGGGTGGTTTTCATCATGTGGCTCTCGCCTTAGCGCAGCGCACATTCGCTTCAAAAATCTGCAAAAGCTTAACGGATTGAGGGCGGGTGGTTTTCAAAATGTGGCCTTCGCCTCAGCGCAGCGCGCATTCGTTTCAAACATTTGCAACGAGTTTCACGGATTGAGGGCGGGTGGTTTTCAAAATGTGGCTCTCGCCTGAGCGCCGCGCACACTCGTCCTAAACAGCGCGCAAGAGTTTCACGGATTGGGGGCGGGTGGTTTCCAACATGTGGTTCTCGCTTTAGCGCCGCGCCCATTCGCTTAACAAATTGCATGAGTTTCACGGATTGAGGGCGGGTGGTTTTCAACATGCGGCTCTCGCCTTAGCGCCGCGCACACTCCCTTAAACAATTGCGAAAGTTTTACGGATTGAGGCCGGCTCCTTTTCCAAATGTGGATCTCGCCTCAGCGCCGCGCATATTCTTGATGTTGTTTTAAAAAAGGAAAACGACTGCGAGAGTTGTACGGATTTCCATGATCAGCGTGCCAGAAATGGTGCTTTTGGAAGGATTGAAGATTATGCTGGCGCGACAGTTCTGTTGATTCGCTGTGTTGAAGTCCCCAAAGACGCAATATCATGGCAAGATTCGGAATCGTCAAGACTCAGCAGTCAGGTTGATACGTGGCGTTGAAATCCCGAGAACAATGTTTTGGCACGCTTCAGGATCTTCAAACTGTTGTCTCCCAACGACGCAGTTCCCTCAATACAAATTAACCGTTGTAGGGGCCTATGAAGAGGGAACTTGGAGGGAGGGTTGATTCCAACATCGTTGATGACTTTTGGGTTTCCTCTGGTCCTTCTCCTCCTCCTCCTCCTCCTCCTCCTCCTCCTCCTCCTCCTCCTCCTCCTCCTCCGCAGGAGGGGCACCCCCATTAGCGGCGTGTCGGGCCAAAGTGCCTCCTGGCGGAGGCGCGGACCTCCGGGCCTTCGGGGTCCAAGCCCCCTTCCCAGGGGCCCCCTGGCCGCGCAGCCTCCCACGGGAGCCTGGCCTCCAGGTCGGCTTTCCCCTGTGGGCGTCGTGGCGCCGCCGTCGCTGTCGTCGCTGTCGTCGTTGCTTCGTCGCAGCCATCGTCGTGGGGTCCGTCTCTTCCCGTCGTGTCGTCGCCGTCGCTGCCGTCGTCTGTCGTCGTCGTGGGCCTTTGGGCTTCTGGGCCGTGCTTGGGGGCTCGGCCTCGGCCCGTTCTGCGTGGCGCCGTGCCTCTGGTGGTCTCCGGGGCCCCCGGATGCCAGTGGGGGCCGGCCCCGGTCTCTGGGGTCCCCCGCCCGTCTTCGCGCAGAACGCGGCCGGGGAGCTGGCCCGCCAATCTGTGCTGCCGTCCGACCGCAAGTGAGGCGGGCACGGCACCTGTGTTTGTGCAGAATTGACTTGCCAGTCGTGAACAGAAAAGCTCTCTCCCTCCTCCTCTCTCCTCCTCTTCCTCCTCCTCTTCCTTCTCCTCCTGCTGCTGCTCCTCCTCCTCCTCCTCTTCTCCTTCCTCTTCCTCCCTCTTCCTTCTCATCATCATCATTTCTCCTCTTCTTATTATTCCTCCTCCTCCTTCTCCTCCTCCTACCTCCCCCTCCTCCTCCACCTCCTTCTCCTCCGCCTTCTCCTGCTGCTCCTCCTCTTCCTCCTCCTCCTCCTCTTCCTCTATCCTCTTCCTCTTCTTTTTCTTCCTCCTCCTCCTTCTCCCTCTCTATTCCTCCTCCTCCTCCTTCTCCTTCTCCTCCTCCTCCTTCTCCTCCTCCTCCTCCTTCTCCTCCTCCTCCTGCTCCTCCTCCTCCTCCTCATCTATCCTAGCTCTTCCTTCCTCTCTCCTCTCTTCTCTCTCCTCTCTACCATCTCCTCTTTGCTCTCTCCTCTCTCCTTTCTCCTCTCTCCTCTCTCCTCCTCCTTCTCCTCCTCCTCATCATCATCATAATCATCATCAGCATCATCACCATCATCATCACCATCATCCTCATTATCATCGTCATATTCATCCTCATCATCCTCATCATCCTCATCCTCATCCTCATCCTCATCCTCCTCCTCTTTATCATCATCATCATCAGCATCATCATCAGCATCATCATCAGCATCATCATCAACATAATCAGCATCATCATCATCATCATCATCATTATCATCATCATCATCATCATCATCATCATCATCATCATCATCATCACCATCATCGTCACTACTCCTCCTCCTGCCTTCACTCCCGTTCCTCCTCGTCGTACCCCTTCTCTTCGCCTCCTTCCTCTCCTCCTCCGCTTCCCATTTATGGAGCGCCGACGGCAACAGTGGGGGTGCACATTAGCGCCGCCAGCGAAGAATTCGACGACGCCTTAGGCATACCTCTCGCCTCGGGGAAGTATGTCACGATAACGATTTGGGTGCTGATCCCGCCTTGAGGAGATTAGAAGACTCCGACCTCCACCATGGCGAAGAAACAAGAACAACAACAAAGCAAATTCACAATGGTCGCTCTTGTTCGATCGTGTGTCATACAACATGGTAATCCCAAGCCCTCGATACGCACCCTCTTCGTCTTTGTTCGTACCCCACTTGGGGGTATGCCGTACTCCCAACTGGGGATATACCATAGTTGACACAGCCCCCAAAACAGGGAAAGGGAGGGAGGAAGGCAGGCACCAGGGGGAAGGAGAAGGATGGAGCACGAGAGAGATTCGCAGGCGGTGAGGAGCAGGAAAACGAGCAGCACAACCAGACGGGCGGGTCGGAAGGACGAATCCCAGCGGCTCGGTCGGTCGGGCGGGCCCAGACGGTCAGGTCGAGCGGGCGGGACGCTCAAACGTCAGTCCGCATGAATCGCGAGGGCGTCTCGAGCAATAGCGCGATTCCCAAATAAAATCGTCAGGAAGTCCAGAGCGAGGGCGTGATTCCTAAAGGTCGAGGGCGCAGCATCTCAATAGATTGCTAAGCAATTCCAAATGAGAGCGCGACTCCTGCATCAGTTGTGGGGAAATCCGCGAGAGAGCGCGATGTGGTGACTTCTCCTTGTAGAGCAGTTCTGTTGAACAACACAAGGTGCACCGGAGGGAGGGGACAACAAACATGATTCTTCTGAAATCAAAATTCAACATCACTTGGGCGTTTGTTTGCGATGTCGGTGCATCTTTGGTCCCTGGGGCAGTACAAACGTCCGCGGCAAAAGCCTGGCCCGCGGGACGAAGAACAGAAGGGACCAGTGATGCCGCGACGGAAAAAAATGCGACCGAGGTCTGGGGGGAGGATGGAGTCGGAGTCGGGGGAGATCGACCTTCCGACCCTGCGCGGAGCAGCGGGAAAAAGGGAGCGGGGCGAGGACGACGGAAAAGGGGAGGCATGATGAGGTCGGGGGGAACTCGGCGTCGACTCCGCGCCGAGCCTGCGCCGCACCCGCGCCAGATCCGGGAGAAGCCCACCCCTGACAGGGCGGTCCACGGCCTGCACCGAATAGTTATGCCCAGCACCCGGCGGGGAGGCAGCGGGTGCGCGCCGCGGGTGCCACCGGCGACACGGGGGAACAACACAAGCTGCACGCACCCAGACATTCGAAAGTCGGCGCTGGACCCTGAAGGGGCCCTGGGACACACAAATAGATACACACAACTGAAAATGATCCCCATGTTTTCCCCTATTTTCTGGGTTTTCGTCTCCCCCCCCCCACTTCCCGTAGTTTCCCATATATTTTCCTGGGAGTCGACGATTCATTGCGTCTGTGTGTTTTTTTTTCTCCCTCCTGACCAGCACGCGCCCAGACGCTCGAAAGCCGGCGCTGGACCCCTCCGCTGGCGCGCGGAGGCCGCCGAGGTGGCGAGGCCCAGGCGCCGCCCGCGGGGGGGGGGGGGTCCGGCGCCGGCCTCCCGAGAGGCTGCGTCCGCGCGATGTGTGCTCCTCGCTGCGGAGAACATGCCGGGGGGGCCCAGCCCTGGAGTGGTACTGTTGGGGCGTTGACCTAAGGAACCCTAGATAAGGAGCGAGGCCCCTTTTTTTTCAATCAGTTAAACTTCGACTCCCCATCGAAAACCTGAGGACAACCTGAGGCAAGCTGCGAGACAACTAAGGAACACGGAGCCCCTCCCCAACGAAAAGGGTTCCTTGTCTAGCGCCCCGACTGTATTACGATGTGATCTGCTCAAGCCGCGGCCCCACCCCTGGGCCCGAAGAGCCGACCCCGAGGCTCGAAGCGAGCAGAGGACGTCGCGATTGGAGCGGCACCCATGCGGCACAAGACCCTAGACAGCTTTACACAGCTCACAGTGGGGGGCCACGATGGCGGCCACGATCTCGGATGCCAAGCATCTTTCACTGGGCACCACCTTAGATGTTCTTAAAAATGCTGGGTGGCACTTTTTCCCGTTTTCAAGATCGACGTTTTCTTTCCATTTTGGTTATCGTTTTCTTTCCGTTTGCGGAATGTGGGCCACCGTTTTCTTTCAATTTTGAATTCCGTCTTTTTTTTACGGTGACAATTTTCTTCCCGTTTTCAAATCTGAAACCGGGTTGCGCCTTGCCGCGCCGTTTTGTATTTGTTTTTTGGCCTCGTTGTCAATACGTTTTCTGATTCGCCACAAACGCCGTGTACACCCCGTGTTGGCACTCCGTTTGGCACCCTGTTTTGGCACTCCGTTTTCTTTGCGTGTTT